AATTTGAATTCGAAAAATTTCTTCTGTCTTGGTTTGTAAAATTGCTTTATGACGGAGGCATCATTTTCGACTGCACGCAGTCGAATTCCATCTAGTTAAAATATAGATTCGGCCTGGATAGATATCACATAGTCCCATATACATCTTTCTGTGTACAGTGCTTTTAATTTACCAAAACTGGGCAAAATTTTGTATCATTTTGATGATTCCAGAACCTTGCAGTACACACCAATACTTATAGATGATCAACATTTTCTGATCGATTCCACAACGTTTCTTTTCACAATGCAATTGAATTGCATGACCAGAACTGGTCTATACCTTTAATAATATAATTTTAATTATTATACAAATACGATACAGTGGATTCTAACTAGACATACAATGTTTGTTACAGGTGGATTTGGTGGATGAGGAGGAGGACGCTGTTTCGGTGGACGAGGCGGCGGTGGACGCGGAAGGGGAGAATTCGGCGGAGGAAGGGGACGAGGAGGTATGTCTTGTTTATTTTCACCATCTTTGGAACGGTAGTTACTAAGGACTTTGATGGATGAAAATTATCATCACAATATGATTGATTTCAATCCAAACAGATAAGATCATTCTCGATTTTCATGCCTCCACTACAAAGTAGCCAGAGGCATTACTCTCAAACTGAAATAGCTTGTAATCAAAATATTCTGAGAACCTGATAATGGATTACAATCAAACTTGATAATGGATTACAATCAAACTTGAATATTAAAAATTGCTTCCGATTTGGTTTGTAAAATCGCTCTATAGCGGAGGCATCATTTTCGACTGCACGCAGTCTAAGTTCCATCTAGTTAGTCTTATTGTGTTAATCAAAAGTTAAATAATTATTATTCTGTGTGTGTCGCGTAGTCCCACATACATCTTTCTGTGTACAGTGCTTGTAACTTTACCAAGACTGGGTCAAATCTCATCATTTTGATGATCCAGATCACACCAATACTTATATGCTAGCTGAGCAACCTTTTCTGATCGATTCCACAACGTTTTTTTCACAATGCAATCGCATGACCAAAACTGGTCTTTGCCTTCAAAGGTACTATGTCCCATTTGCAGGCCAACAAAATGAAAAGGTTAAATTTCAACAGCATTTGAAAGATAATACTAATTTAGAACTTCCCTAAAAAAAGTGGGGCTTGAAAATGTCTTTAAGTTGGAAAATAACGACTATTAGTTGTCGAATCGACTTAAGAGCTATAGAGCCAGTAAGTAATGGTCTGATTTCCAGACCATTGTACCGAATGGTCGTACATTTTATGCTGCGCAAAGATTCAATCAGTTTAATTTTGGCCATTACAAGCAGAAGTGGGATATTGATGTTGACAAATGCTCATATACCCTTTACAGCTCATTTTATGTACATGTATGTTATTTTCAAAGAAGAAAAAAGCTAGTGAGTCACTCAATAGTGTCTGACAGTGAAGCTAATGTAGCAAGTAAACGGGTTTGTTTGCATAATTTGAATATTAGGACACTGCTAACGTTTAAACTTCACAGATAGGACATACATGACATATTCATAATTCCTATAAAGTTCTACAGAATTTGATTGTGGCTGCAAAAGGGACATAGTATCTTTAAGCATTGAATGAGGGCTCACTATTTGTATTTATTTTTGTAATATAATCATATTGGTATTTTATGAAATGCAATTGTTTTTTTCTTTTCTTTTTTTCTTTCAGGTTATTGACTGTTTTCAAGATTGCTGAGAGTTGCAGAGAGTAAGTTGATCTGCTTAAGAAGGCTAAAGTCAAGTAGTTTTTAAAATAAAGCTACAATGGAATGAAACAGATCTCCATAATTGGGAACATAATTGAACGCGGAATAGGAAAGCTATGGCTTAATGAAATTTTCTATGACACTTCCGTAGGTATGTAACATAATTTTGTGGACAATTCTCAATACTCTTCCATTGGGTGTTGCCAAAATTTGAAGAGAATCCTTGAATTATGTAAGGAGTTGATAAAGAAGAACAAGTTTGTTTGTTTTTAAACACCTAGTGCAAATGATAGATTGTTGGAGAAGTCGAGCAGGCTTGTAGAGCCCCAGCGATGCCTGGGCGGTGACCTGTCGATTTCCCGTCGGTGGCCGGTCGATTTTAGGTAAAAACTGGGCGAATTCGCGGAGCTTTTTCGCGCGGTGTCCCGGCAGTGACCGACCGATGACCCTCCGATTGCCGGGCGGTCTCCCACCAGCCACCGGCTGATTTTAAAGAAATTGCCTGGCGGCCGGCCAGTGATCGGCGGGGCTCCAAAATACGCTCGGTGCCTGGCCGTTCGCCGCCCGGGCACCGAAATAATCGAGCGTTCGCCGCCGAGCAATTTAAGTCAAAAATCGAAGGCGCTAGGGTCAAAGGCTGCCGACCTATTTTGGACTCGCCGCCAGGTGACCGACTGATCTCCCAGCGGCGACCGGGCGGCGACTGCTCGACAGCCTTTGACCTAGGGGCTTCGATTTTTGACCTAAATCGCTCGACGGTGAACGCTCGATTAGGCCGGCGTCCGGGCGGCGACCGGTCGCCGAGCGATTTTAGTTAAAAACTGGGCGAAATCGCGGAGCTTTTTCGCGCGATGTCCCGGCAGTGACCGACCGGTGACCCTCCGATTGCCGGGCGGTCTCCCACCAGCCACCGGCTGATTTTAAAGAAATTGCCCGGCGGCCGGCCAGTGATCGGCGGAGCTCCAAAATACGCTGGGTGCCTGGCCGTTCGCCGCCCGGGCACCGAACTAATCGAGCGTTCGCCGCCGAGCAATTTAGGTCAAAAATCGAAGGCGCTAGGTCAAAGGCTGCCGACCTATTTTGGACTCGCCGCCCAGTGACAGACTCATCTTGCAGCGGCGACCGGGCGGCGACTGCTCGACAGCCTTTGACCTAGGGGCTTCGATTTTTGACCTTAATCGCTCGACGGTGCACGCTCGATTAGGCCGGCGTCCGGGCGGCGACCGGTCGCCGAGCGATTTTAGGTAAAAACTGGGCGAAATCGCGGAGCTTTTTCGAGCGGTGTCCTGGCAGTGACCGACCGGTGACCCTCCGATTGCCGGGCGGTCTCCCACCAGCCCCCGGCTGATTTTAAAGAAATTGCCCGGCGGCCGGCCAGTGATCGGCGGAGCTCCAAAATACGCTCGGTGCCTGGCCGTTCGCCGCCCGGGCACCGAACTAATCCAGCGTTCGCCGCCGAGCAATTTAGGTCAAAAATCGAAGGCGCTAGGTCAAAGGCTGCCGACCTATTTTGGACTCGCCGCCCAGTGACCGACTAATCTTCCAGCGGCGACCGGGCGGCGACTGCTCGACAGCCTTTGACCTAGGGGCTTCGATTGTTGACCTAAATCGCTCGACGGTGCACGCTCGATTAGGCCGGCGTCCGGGCGGCGACCACCCGGTCGCCGAGCGTAGTCTGGGCGGCGAGTGAAAGTGAGCAGGCGCCGCCCGAATTTTAACTCCGCGCTAAAACTTCAGCAGCGACCGAGCGATGCCTTAAAAACGAGCGGTGACCGGGCAAAATTGGCTAAAAACTCGCCGCTCGGCCGCCGAGCAGGCTAATTTTGGGTAATGTGACTACCGTATTTGCCGGCGTAAAAGCCGCAGTATTATTGGAAGAGAAAATATCAAAAAGTCGGGGTGCGGCCTATGCGGCGAAAGAGTAATTTTTTTTTTTTTTTTTTTTTTTAGTTTCGATTTATGGCGCTATGCCTGGCAATGTCTCCCAGCTCAGTAATCAGTGTGTTGACTCACCACTCGGAAACTACAACAACAACACTAAAATTTGTCTGTCATTTTGGTTTGAAAGTAATCTTTCTAATAGATCTCAATATGTAGTTTATAATAATAATTCCTCAATTTTTTTGTCTATAACAAATGGTGTACCACAAGGTTCTATCCTACGAGCTCCTTGATGATTTCTCAAGAATTGCCCAGACGTGTCTATTGAATTTAATTAATTTTTTTTTCTATTCCTTTCTGTCTTTTGCAGGACCGAGGGTGGTACACTCCAAAGAACTCTCCAAAGAACTCTCCAAAGAACTCTCCAAAGAACTGTCCAAAGAACTCTCCAAAGAACTCTCCAAAGAACTCTCCAAAGAACTCTCCAAAGAACTGTCCAAAGAACTCTCCAAAGAACTCTCCAAAGAACTCTCCAAAGAACTTGCACTTAAACTTGCACTTGAACTTACACTTGCACTTGAACTTACACTTGCACTTGAACTTACACTTGCACTTGAACTAGCACTTGAACTTGAACTTGCACTTGAACTATCTTGAACTATCTTGAACTATTTTGAACTATCTTGAACTATTTTGAACTATCTTGAACTCTCCAAAGAACTTGCACTTGAACTTGCTCTTGAACTTACACTTGAACTAGCACTTGAACTTGAACTATCTTGAACCTTGAATCTGAAACATACTGAATGAAACTTGAATCTGGAAATCTTGAATCGAATCAAAACTGGAACAGAATATTTCTAAAGATTGTATTGCCATTTTTAGAAGACATAATTATTGTCAATTATAAAGAAATTATTGGCAGTTTCTAGAAGGAATTAAAAGTAAACTGAAATAAAAAGAAGAACAATAGAGGGAAAGGAATCTAACTCTAATTCCTGGAACTTGATAAGACCATACTTACAGTTGAAAGCAGTAATATTGTAAATCTTGGGAAAGAAAAAAAGAGGTATACATTTTAAAGAGTAAAGTAGATTGGAAAAGTAGTCGTTCAAGATAAATATTGACTGTATTGCCATTTTAGAAGACATAATTATTGTCAATTACAAAGAAATTATTAGCAGTTTCTAGAAGGAATTAAAAGTAAACTGAAATAATAAAAGAAGAATAATAGAGGAACAGGAATCTAATTCTAATTCCTGGAACTTGATAAGACCATAATTACAGTTGAAAGCAGTAATATTGTAAATCTTGGGAAAGAAAAAAAGAGGTATACATTTTAAAGAGTAAAGTAGATTGGAAAGTAGTTAATTGTAGACTTGTAATTATTAACCAGAACTGTTGCAAGTATATAAGCAAAATTTACCATGATGGATACAATTGAATTTAAGAAAACACTTGATGAAATCATGAATATACTGACTAGTTGTGCATTGGTGACCAACCCAAAGCTTAATGAATGCTGTATCTGTAACAATGAAATCAAAGAAAATGAAAGTGATGCAAGATGTGACTGTTGTAGTAAGCATTTTCATGTGACATGTATGGGATTCCCTTGTGAAGACAGACTGAGTGACCTGACATTGATCTGGATTTGTTCATTTTGTGGAAATAACAACATGGCTCATCGCATGTTTGATCAAGTATGCATCCCTTCTCATTTCAATAGATACGAACTTCTTGGTGATCATGATGAACACTGTTACTTGGATTTGAACCAATCAAGGACCCTATCAAGTACGACCAACAAAAGAAAATGTGGCAGATCAAAGAAGAGGTATGGTAAAAAGGGAAAGAAAACCAATCGATTGAGAGGAACACAACATCATATAACTGACAGGAAAACAAATGAGTCTGATAGACATAATCCTTTGGCTATGGAAAATTCATCCCAAATAGAACACGAAGAGATGCAAAATGAAAAATTTGAGGATGACTGGGTAATTGTGAAATCAAGGAAGACGAAATGGGTGGAGAAACTAAAATCAAGAAAATTGTATCCCAAATCAATAGATGATCATCAAACAGACAGGAAAATCAGAAGAAAATCGGTGAATGGCAAAGTCTTAGAACCTGGTGTAACTTACATCGGCAAAGCAATGAAGACATTCTATGAAAGCCATAGCAGAAAAAAAAAGGAAGACCGAAAGAAAGTTGATTGTAAAGAAAAGAAGGTGAAATCCGAGAAAAAAGATATCAGTGTTCAATCTTACACAGAAACTCTTTTAGGTTTATATGCCTACAGTGTGCAGTCCCCACATGCAATGAAGTTGTATAATGACATGTGTGTGCAAAGTGAAACAGCACAAACACGATCCTGGGCAGACATAGCAAGCAATTTGCCAACTCAATCTAGAACAGATACATGTGTTGATATCGATGTATGTACTTGTAATCTTTTTGAACAGATCAAGGATTTGCGAAAGTACAGAGTTCATGCTGGTGGCAAGAAAAAAGAAGCAAAGAACAAGAAAGGTCGAGCAAGGAACAAGAAAGGTCAGTCTTCCAAAGGGAAAAAAGGTACTGATGGAAATCACTCTTCTGATAAATCGGAGATTAGATTTGACAAAGATGAAGGAATAGAATTAGCAGTAAAGAATGAGAAGCAGGATACAAAGATATCGATGAATGCAGGTGACCAAGGACTTGATACAAATACATGTAAAAATGATACACACTCAGACCAGCATATTTGCAATATGAAAGACAACAAAGGTTCAGATGGAGTTGTGCAGGACGATTCAAAGAATAATCTGTTGAAATCAAATTTTGATGAAAATGGGGAAATTGAAACGGACGATGATAGTGGCAGTGATGTTCATATACCAGTGAAACGTTCGTGTGCAAGAAATTGTATAGAATCTGATAGTGATACAGACACAAGTCCTGGATGTGATTTATTCGATAGAAGTGTTTTACCAGAACGCAATATGCCTTTGAATGTTTGTGATAGACCAAAAGATATGCCCAGAAATGAACCAGTAGACAATGTCTGTGAATCGGTATTGGAAAATGATGATATGATGAAAAATGATTTTTCAGATGTTTCAGATGGTGTACAAGAAGATGCAGTGTTTGACAATGACCTGGAGAATAGAAGCTTTGATACAGTAAAAGATGGTACAGACAATGATACTGATATGTCATTTAATGATCATGCTCATTCAAGGAATCCTTTAGAATCTTCTTCAGATTCAAATATCAAAGATGAAGACATTGAAAAGGCAATAGATGCTAATATGTACACATGTACTGATGAAACAGAAAAAGAAGTTGAATTTGTAGCAGATCTTGGATTACGTGACAGACCTGATAAAGATTTCAAATTTGTACCCCTCCAGAATAATGACAAACGGAACATTTGTTCAAAACTGAATATCAGATATATAGGCAAAGGCTGTGATTCAAGGTTAGATAGAAATAGCTGTATTGGAGTTCCTTTACAGAGTAAACAAATTACTGGTGATGGCAATTGTTTCTTTCGTGCAATTTCCTATGTAATTTCTGGAACTGAGCATAATCATGCAATTCTAAGAAATGCCACTGTGAAACATTTATTGCAAACCAAGGACATGTTTAGTAATACATTGAGGCAAGAATATAGAACAGTCAGAGAATATGTTTTGAAACGTAGAATAAAGGAAGACGGAACGTGGGCTACAGACACTGAAATTAGCGCTTTAGCAAATTTAATCGATACTGATATTTATTCATACAATGACCAAGTACCATGTTGGCAATTGTTCTCTGCAAAGAAACCTGGAAGAATAAATATTGTAACATCTGATAAGGGAATTTATATACTGTACACAGGAAATGTTCATTTTAATGTTGTTGAATCTGTAGATTTTGGCAATTTCAATTCATTGGAACAGACAAGAACAACTAAAGAAGATAGAACGTCAAAGAGAACTCTGCCATGTCCATCAATTCAGGCTGATGTTAAAGTAAAGCATGTGTTGAAGAAGTGTAGATCCAAGTCGCAGATAGAGGAAGAAATTGATGAAGTAGTGGATAAGTCTCCTGAAACATTTCAAAACCATGTTGATCCAAAGGGAAAAAAACGTAGGCTCACGTTGGAGACTGGTACGATAAATCACGATGAGAGGAAAGGTACTGCAAATCTTTTGGACATGACATATGAACAGTGTGCAAGTAATCAGTCTGAATCAGTCGTTCACAACGAATGTAACACCAAGGACGAAACCCTTGAAAGTGATCACAAAGACAAATGCACGAGAGTCGATACACAAATAACGCTTGTTGCCCAAGGGACATTCAATCAAGGTGATACAAGATTTGGTGACTTAAGTGGAAAGCAGTGTGTTACCAATTCACTTTCTGCACTGTTGTATAGCAAGGTAAAAAATGCCAATGATTGGAAAAGTACAGATCTAGACAGGATTTTGAATAACGGTAATGAATTATACTGTTACATACAGCGATCCACTTCACTCGACAACCAATACTTATTGATATCTGATCTATTTGAATATTTGGATGCGTACAATGAATTGTTTAACATAGTACGCCGTGAACCAGTCACTGGATTGTTAGATGGAGATGAATTGATATTGGCCCAGTCTCTTTCGATGACATTGAAGCAAGCACTCGAAAAAGAACTCTGTACTGATTCTGATGCATGTTTTGTGACATTTGCTAGAAGTACTTTCATTGTATTATCTGGTCAAGATGGTTTCTTTATATTTGATTCACATTCCAGAAGCAGTCGAGGTTTCCTGAGTTGTAACGGACACAGTGTTGTACTTCATACTCAAAGCTGGCAAGGTGTGTACAAGCATTGCATGAGGTTAGCAAAATCAATGGGATGCCCCCTGCACACCGAATATGAAGTAACTAGTGTATGTGCTAAAGCAACTTCCGGTAAGAATGAAACCTTGAAAGGCTATCCACAGTTACAGGATTTTGTTTGTAATCCAATTCCTTCGTCAAATACGCACAGTGAAAGTCAGTCTGGAAGCTCTGGATGTTCCATACATTGTGAAAGCTTTGATGAAGTTCAAATATTGGATGAGAGTGTTTCCCCACAAAAGATGATTGATAACCCAAATGTATTTGTCTTCCCTGAAGAAGCAAATGAAGCGATCATTCATGATGTACATTATAACGGTCAGGAATTAAAACTGAAGAGTGTGACAATTACCTTAACCAAACTGAAAGAACCACAGCTGAATAATAGTTGTCTTCTGAAAGGAAATGACTCCATAAAAACAGAATATGAAAATGAACATAAGGGAGACTCAAAAAATTGTACTAAATGTGAAAATGACTCTGATAGATTGAATTTAGTGACGAAAGTTCAGAATTCCAACTCTATCTTAAGCAGAAAACGAAAATGGAGTAATCTCGAAAGCGATGCAAATGTTGATGTTGACCATGGCAAGGAAATTCGAAAATCCAAATGGGTGAAAATGAATGAGAACGACAGCTTAAGAATTGATGCAAGCAAATGTGCTGATAGTAATGACGAATTAATAATAATTGGAGAAGTTCATGTTAGAAATGTAGACCCAGGAAAAAAAAACGTAAAAACAGAGAAAGTTCTAATCAAATTAGGAAGCGCAAGAGACAGCAAATGAGAGAAAAACGAGCCCTGGCCAAAGATGAAATCATTAAGAAAAAGGAAAAGTGTCTACACAATGCGCAAATGAGGAAAAATAAGTCGAAGAATAAATATCGAAATGATTTAACCTACAAAATCAAAAAAATAAATGAAGTAAAACAAAGACAAAAAGAGAATTACAACACTGATTTATCACACAAAATAAAGCAAGGAGCTTATGTCAAACAAAGGCAAAAAGAAATGTATAAAGAGGATTCAAATTTCAGGAACATACAGCTAAATATTATGAAAACCAAATATCATTCTGATTTACATTATAAAAAGAAAATTTTGTATAGAAATAAACAGAAATATTTGATAAATGAAGGATTCAAAGAAAATGTTAAAACAGTTATGAGGACTAAAATGAAAAATAAATATTGGAACAATGAACATTTCAGACGAATGCATAAAAGTAAAATAAGAAGTAAATATTTGAACAATGAACATTTCAGACAAATGCATAAAAACAAAATAAGAAGTAAATATTTGAACAATGAACATTTCAGACGAATGCATAAAAGTAAAATAAGAAGTAAATATTCGAACAATGAACATTTCAGACAAATGCATAAAAACAAAATAAGAAGTAAATATTCGAACAATGAACATTTCAGACAAATGCATAAAAACAAAATAAGAAGTAAATATTCAAACAATGAAAATTTCAAGGAAAAACAACAAGATACCATGAAAATATTGTCAAAAATTAGATACAAAGGTAAAGAATTTAAGGAAAAGAAATTGATGAGCTTAAAAATGAAATATAAAAGAATTGAAAAATATAGGCAAAATGTAATAAAACAAAATCGAAAAAGGTTTGCACTTCGAACAGTAAAATTGTCAGAGTTTGATATTGTACTTGAAGAATTTAGAAAGATAATTTCTCATGGCCCAGAATATGTGTGCTGTGTATGCTTAAAACTTCTCTTTGAGAACCAAGTATTGAAATGTAAAAAGAGTAATTATAAAATTCAGACATGCATAAGTGAAGAATATTTGCATGTTTGCAATTCAGAATGCCGGTCAAAATGTTTAATAGGCCAGTCAGCCCGATCGTCACTATGGATATGCTTCACCTGTCATAGAAAATTGAAAGCTGGAAAAGTACCTCCAGAAGCAAATATGAACAATTTACAATTACATGAAGTTCCAGAAGAGCTTGCCAATCTGAACAATTTAGAACAGCATTTGATTGCATTGAATATCCCTTTCATGAAGTTAATGGCGTTGCCTAAAGGTGGTCAAAATGGAGTCCATGGCCCAGTCGTGTGCGTGCCTTCAAACACTTATGAAACAGTAGATATGTTGCCAAGACCACAGACTGAAGATCAATTGATCCGTGTTAAACTCAAACGAAAATTGTCGTACAAAAGCTATTATGAGTACAAATTTGTAGATAAATCTAACTTGCTTAATGCTCTGCAGTATTTAAAAGCAAATAATAAGTGGTATTTCGATGTTACAGTAAATGATAAATGGGAAAACTCACTTGAACGAAATGAACAGGATAATGAAAAGGAAGAAGCAGTGGAAATCGGTGGTAAAGCTCGTTTAGCAAAATATTGGAAGGAAATGGAAGAACAAATTGATTACATTTTGTCCAAAGACAAAAATGCTAATGAAAACATGCAAGACAACAGTAAACTACAACAAAAAATAGATGACAACGACACTGAAGACGATATGGAAGAACGCTTACGCGGTATTCAGTTAGACTCGTGTCTCCAGCCAGTAGATATTGGACAGGAAATATTAGATCAGTATTTTGAAGACATAATATGTTGTGCTCCTTGTGAAGGAAGAAGCCCGGTATCAATTCTACAAGATGAAAGCAATGAGGCCAAATGTTTCCCAGTGTTATTTCCTAAAGGTCAACCAACATTCCATGATAGAAGAGATGAAAAAATAACATTAGGACGTTATCTGCATAACCGACTGATGCACGTGGACAATAGATTTGCTCAGAATACAGATTACATCTTTTATGCACAATATATTTATGAAATTCAACAGGTTATATCACAAGTTTCTATCGCTTTAAGGCAAAGTCCAAACAAAAAAGATGATTCGTCTTCAATAACTGCCTCAGATTTGAAAGATGCAGAGAAAGTTAAAAAAATACTAAAATCAGACAAGGGCTATAAATTTTTAAAGCAAATTCGTGGAACACCTCCATTCTGGCAAAAGACACAAAAAGATGTTCTCGCAATGGTAAGACAGCTTGGAAAGCCCACATGGTTTGCTTCTTTCTCATCTGCCGATATGAGATGGCCAGAATTAATGAATACATTGCTTAGACAAAAAGGAGACACCAGGGAATCGAGTGAATTAGACTACACAGAAAAATGTAATCTTTTAAGATCAAATCCAGTAACAGTTGCCAGAATGTTTGATAAAAGATTTCACACTTTTATGAAGAGAGTTATTTTATCTCCCGCTGCACCGATTGGTAAAGTAGTTGATTCATTTTGGAGAGTAGAGTATCAAGCTCGTGGTTCCCCTCACATTCATGCCTTGTTCTGGGTTCAAAATGCTCCACAGTTGGGTATCGATAAAGATGATGATGTCGTACAATTCGTAGATAAATACATTTCTTGCCAGAAACCGGATGAAAAGGAAGATCGAGAACTGCATGAAATAGTAAGCAAGGTCCAACAACACAGTAAGAAACATTCTAAATCTTGCACAAAAACAGGAAAGGCGTGTAGATTTAATTTCCCGAGACCACCATCTGGAAAAACATTCATTGTAACACCTGTTGAAGAGATTCCAGCTAAAGATTGTGGGAAAGTGCAAAATAAGGGAAAGGACAATGATCAAGTTAAAGCTTCTGAAAAGACTAAAGATGATGCAGAGAAATTGTTGAAGTCAGTTAAAGATGCATTATCCAATGGAATCGAGTACAACAGTGTAAACCATCTCTTTGAAAAGCTTGGCATTACACAAAATCAATTTGAGAATGCACATAATGAATTAGCATCACAACAAAGTATAATCATCAAAAGAGAAATACAAGATGTATGGGTGAATCAGTTTAATCCAAGTCTACTAAGAAGCTGGAATGCCAACATGGATTTGCAGTTCGTAACAAATGTATTTGCATGCGTGGCTTATATTGTATCCTACATGTCAAAAGCTGAACGAGAAATCGGAATGCTATTGAGTCATACACTATCAGAAATGAAAGAGGGAAATGAAAACGCAAAGGAAAGCATGAAAAAACTTGGCCAGGTGTACATGCAAAATCGTGAAGTGTCTGCTCAAGAAAGCGTCTATCGTGTTTGCAGTCTCAGATTGAAAGAATGTTCTAGGAAAGTGGAATTCATTCCTGTTGGACCCAACCCTGTCAGAATGAGTTTACCATTAAGCGTTATAAAAAGCAGACCAGATAACGATAATGATGATGATGAGAATGTTTGGATGCCTAGCAAGCTCGACAGATACAAAGCTCGACCTAAAAACGCAGAATTCAGTGATATGTGTCTTGCAACGTTTTGTTCTCAGTATAGAATCTTAACTGCATCCCAAAAGCCAAGTACAAGAAGTAAAAATGTCTTTAAATTAGATAACGATCTGGGATATATTCAGAAGCGTACTCGTACGGGAGATGCAGTTGTAAGATATCCCCGATTCTCACCCATCATCTCACCCGAAAAATATTATTTGAGCATTTTGCAACTGTTTCTGCCATATTTTGAAGATGGACAATTAAAGCCCCCAACATTTGAAACACATGAAGAGTTCTACGAGACAGGTTCTGTGAAAATATGTGGACGTGAATTGGAGAAAGTCTGGTCAATTGTCTGTACTAACCGAAAGAAGTTTGAAATGAATGCCGATGCAATTGATCATGCACAGGAGCATCTTGACAAATTTGGTCCACACGAAGATGCATGGGGTCTTTTATGTCCGGAAAAGGAAGTAGAGCGACTTGAACATCCCAAAGAAAATGTAGATGTCGAAGATTGTGATGGAGATCTTGATATCCCAGATTTAAAGAATGAACCGAAAAAAGATGACTATAGCATCGAACTACGTTCAGTAAAAATTTCCAAACAAGATGGACATTCTTTGATGAGGTCTTTGAATGAGAAGCAACAGAGTGTTTTTTACAAAATACGACAGTGGTGTTTAGATAGAGTAAATGGAAAATCGGTCGAACCGTTTCATATGTTTCTAACTGGAGGTGCTGGCACTGGAAAGAGTCATTTGATCAAATGTCTTTACTATGAAGCAACACGTATACTAGCCCGAATGTTGCCACATCCTGATGATGTCTCAGTATTGAAAATGGCTCCAACCGGAGTAGCTGCATACAATATCAATGGCAATACTATACATAGTATTCTTTCTATTCCAATCAATGCACAAAGACTGTATCAACCGCTGAGTGATAACAAAATAAGTGTCCTTCGAAATAAGCTGGCTGAATTGCAAATTTTAATCATAGATGAAGTATCAATGGTAGATCAAAAGATGATGTCTTACATTCACGGCCGCCTACGACAAATAAAACAATCACGCGATCAAACTGCTTTTGCTGGTGTTTCAGTTATTGCTGTGGGAGACATGTATCAGTTACCTCCAGTCTTAGGAACTCCTTTATATAAAGACACACTCAATGGTGCATTGTGGAATGCTAATTTCAAGAAAGTAGAACTTGAAGACATTATGAGACAAAAAGACGATACCCAATTCGCTTTTCTCTTAAATAGATTACGTGTAAAAGAAGGGGATGAAATTCTCTGTGATGAAGACCTAGCAATGCTCAAGTCCTGTGAAACTGGCGAAGAATGTGAAAATGCTCTGCATATCTATGCATGTAACAATGAAGTAGATGCTTGGAACAAGAAATTATTGCATACAAAATGTGGAGATGTGATATGCGTAAAAGCACAAGACATGGACAAAGATGTTAAAAAAGGAAATCAAATACTGGAAAAACCTTATACAAAGATGAAAACCCAGTTGCCTCCTTATCTGTGGATTGCAGTTAATGCTAGAGTGATGTTGCTCAAAAACATTGATGTTAGTAAAGGCCTGACAAATGGATGTTTCGGAAATGTAACAGAAATAATAACGGATCATACAAATTTGAATCCA